AAGATGACCTTTTGGATAAAAGATGGCGAAAAGTTGTTGACGTAAAAGACAATACCATGTGCATTTGACCAGTAAAGAAGAGTAATACTTACTCTGAAATTTCTACTTCAAAGGACAGTCTACTTCTGCAAGTAAACTCTTCCCACGTTTCCAGCTGTGCGGGCTCAATGCTTCAGTGACAAGGCAAAAGACGCAAAAAGACCGCTTTACAGATGACTTTTGCTCTCGCTTATCCTCCACCAATCAGACAGCGATATTTGAGACTCGCTGGTGAGGCGGAAGTCCCTTTTGCACGCCCATTGGCTGTCCTGGAATCTGTCGGTCGATGCAGATTCAGCTGATGCTCGCCAGCAATAACTAGGAGCGTGGCTGGCCAAACTGTCAGGGGCCACTGCTTGTGGTCTTTATTCCTGCAACAATGTCGATTAAAAAGCTTTGTTACTTGAGCCCTTCTCTATCAAACTCACTGCTTTGATGGATCGTTATTCCGTTTCGTTTAGCCCTCTGATGAGAGCAACATTGCTTCCTTATTTCCATTGCCATTATTTGCACCGCGGATTTCTAAGGAATAGCAGTGATGCAGAACTTCTATATGAAGGCTATTTGTTATTGGTCGGCTTATTTGAAAACAAAAGCTATTATTCACAGATCTGACATAAGAGGAAAAACGTAATTTGCGCAGGCGACTGACAAGCCCTAAAATGACTAAAACTTTATTCAAAGGAACCATAGATGCAGGCTTGAGAAGTAATGATGGCCGTTGAACGAGGAGTGGCGATTGGAGACGCGCTAAGGCTTGTTTGTCAAATACAGTTTATGTTAATAGTTAGTTCTCATAGCCTCTTCAATAATCCATGTAAATTACTTTGCTGCTAACAGTAAAGAACATAATCAGGCCTTTATATGAAATAAAATTATTTGAAACATTAGTTTACCGGCTAGCAGTGCTTTTTCACCGTAATCAAAGGTTATTACTCTTCAAAACTAAAAATCCAAACCTTTTTTATTTCCACCTTATCCAAAATTATCAGAGTTCACTGTAAATCAGTCTCGAGGGATTGTTTAATAATGGAGGAAATTGAAGTTCATCGACACGCATGTTAGCATATCGGCAGTAAACAATGCAGAACAGGGCAGTACCTACTATTTCGCTTCCATTTGTAAGTTCAAGACCTCTTGCTGATCATTTTACAAATGTCTAAAATTTGAGCACTAGCAGTAAGAGCTGGACCTCTTACGATACACTGGATTGCTTCCAAAAAACTTAAAGTGTTAGACTCAATTACTACAAATTGGCTGATATGAGTGTTGGATTTGGCATTTAAAAGGGAGTAAACATATTATCGGTGAAACCGCGTGATGTGCCGGTTCGAATGACAGAAAGTGACACACGAACTTCCTTTCGGTCAGGTAGTAAAGTCTAGTTTTTGGTGGCTGATGTACTTTAGACCGCAAAATGTAAAAGGAAAAAATGCAAATTGACAGCCTTCTAAAGTTATCGCAACTGTTCAGTCATGTGATGGATGTGCATGGTGTCCTCAACAAAGGGAGAAGAGCACCCAGTCTTTTGGAAATATAGGAATTTTGATAAAATATCAAGCTATCGCAGAGGATTGTGCATAAAAATAACTCAAGACGGACAAAGGACGTCCAACATTCATCGACATTCCAGCCAATTTCCGATCGGCAAACGGAACCCATGACCTTGGAAACCAGTTGAGGTTAACCAAAAACAAATAATTTTCCCAAAACTGCACATGCTGTTACGCGCTGTGCAATTTTGCCCCAAAAGGCCTAATAAATAAATAAATAAATGGCGTCCTAATTACTAATTACTAATTACTATTACGCCAGCGGTCAGATTATGTGGAACCTAATTAAATGAACCGGAAGCCGTCATGTATGTCGTGGATATGGGCGCGTCCCACATAAACGCCCCAAAGATGAGAGAATAATAGTAATAACCAACGGAAATGCTTACACATGTCTTTTGAGCCACTTTCATTATGCCACTACTTGTCAATCCATTTTGGGAAACAAAACCCACCGTGTTGGAGAAAACGATTTTGTCAATTAGTGAGGTAGGGGAGGCGACATGCCAAGTTGGTGAAGCAGGCCATTACGAACGCCCACCTTATTTGACTGCATAGCCAAAGTGTTACTTTGGAGCAAAATTAATTCAGCCTCTAGTTATGTGTTCAGCGAAGAGTTGAGCCTTCAGCAGAGTCACTCTGGGCTTTTGCCTATTTTAGACGAGAATTTGTCGATTGAGGGGAGTCTGGCCTATTTCATGCCTACTTTCACTTCTAGGCTTTGGGCCGCGGTAAAATTTTTGTCAAAAATTAAACCAAACACTGCCTCAATTTGAAGGGTTGCTCTTAGTTATTATTTAGTAGAGAATTAATGGCTTTTTGGACCCACTTTCACCTTTTACTGTAAATTATGCGAAGTGGATAAAATGTGAATCTTCTACAAAATAGGGATCTCGACATTCTACTCATTTTACTACCAGTTTTTGGAGATCGAAAAAGACCTTTTTATAGAAGGTAGGGGAATCGTAAAAGTGAAATGAAACGACTTAATAGCTGATGGAGTCCCCAAAGTTGAGCAGCAAACAACGTTGAAGATTGAATAATTCATCTTTAGCACTGTACACTGACTGCTCCCAGAATCCTGCAATCTTTCACAGAAGCCTATGGTAAGTCAGATCACAAGTTACTTGATAAAATTTAGAGCAAATGTAATTCAGAAGGGTTTTATGGCTTTTGAGTTTATTTACGGTTACACAAGAGATGTCATGCGGGTTGTTTTTAGTAGTATTACTCAGGTGAGCAGTCCAAGGCCTTTGGCAAGGAAATGGGTCTTCTTTTACCTCTTAGCAGAGTCGCTGCTATCCCCGTTTCAAGCTAACGTCGAAGAGTACCCACCAACCATCACGGATTACGAAGATTGCTAAACGCGCTGTGCCTCTAAAAAAGGCTGGCAGAACAGAATGCTAAAAGTCAAGAAATTATTTTAACCCCGTATATTGAGGTGGGTTACAATTGTCATTTCTGTGCAATTTAAAGCTGCGCTTCTAGTAAACAACGGACTTGCATATGAAAGTCCTCGGCTGTGGTGCCCGTTTTAATTGCATACTTCGTTATTCGTCTGCAGTGCTGCGCGGTATCACAATTTATGCTTCCGGTATGGCCACGCCTAGAGAGTGCGCCTGCTTCTCTATGCATTGAGACAAGCCTTCTATCATCCATTCACGAATTGAAAGGGTTCTCGGAAAATCCTGCGACAGCAAAAAAGCCTTTGAAATACGAATGCGGCTTCTCATTAAGACAAACTGAACGTAAGTAAAGCATCCTGCAGAAATCAAAGTTAAAGTGACTGCGTTATACATCCGAAGTGGGAAAGTGCATTCGAATCTTCATGTGGGAATTTTATTGGAAAAAATCTTCATTCATAGAAAAGGATCGCCTGATTAGCTTATGCGCGAAACGCAGAAAACGGCGTCTAGGAAGGCTCGCAGTGTCTTGCGAAATAGTCATAATGAATTCGACTAAAATCTAAAACAGTCAAAAAGAATCCACAACATCTCCTTTTGCACCGACTCTTGATGACTTTACAGAACCAGAATACTATAAGAGTGAGGTTTGGAGCCTCTATTTTACTGATTGTCATCCTTCATTAGCACGGCACTTTGACATTTGCCTGGCAGTGCACAAAGTCTAAGAAATCTAAAGATTGTGTGCCTCGATCTTTGACTCCTTACTTTCAGGAACAGAATAGATGATACATAAGAGGCCCGCTGAAAAGCATAACCCTAAAAAAGGGACTGCGGAGGAGTGAACAGATTCAAATAATTGATAAGGTGAGAATAAAGACGATTGCCCTTGACCCTTGACTTCGAGGTGTGAGTATAAAGCACTTTTCTGGGGCGCGAATGCGTTTAGAGAGTTTAGTTAAAGTGCGTAAAGACTATATCCTTTTTAGTTTGCCAATTGGAAGATCCATTCTGCCACATATCGCCAAAAATAAAGGCATGAGCGCTTGAGACACCTCGAGGACAACAGGAATCCACCATTTTAACAATTAAAGGAGTCGAATTAGGTTACTAAATTAATATCTAATTTTGAGTTAGTGTAACTTGTACAATCTTTTGGCATCCAAGCGCCATACCTTTTACTCATCCTTAGTATCACATTAATAATATAACGAGTAAATGAATTCCCAGTTCTACTAAGCTTACAATCCGTCGTTAACTGCAATGCACATTCTTTATATCCTTGCTAGGCTGCACAAAAAAGCCACGAACATCTGGAACAATCGCTAGTAGTAGAAATTTAGCCGTTTCTGTTTACTAACTCTCCTTTCCTCAAAATCCGTTATCTATGTAGCCGCGAATTTTTGGTCAATGCACATTTTGAGGTCATGACTGACAACGACAATCAACAAAATTTCGATTTTTAAAATAATCAGTATCCATCTCTCAGAAATAAAAGATCAAACTACTCGAAAAAAAGTTGCATTGATCTAATCTAAGCGGTAAAAAATATTGCAATTCAAGTTTTGATGATAAAATTATTAATGCTAGTTTTGCAAATAAACATCGTCTCTGATCTATCAAACTGCCCATTAGTCTA